CCCCAGGTTTCGGCAGTGACCAGGGGAGCATTTGCACAGTTAAAACTTGTGCGCCAGCTGCTCCCGTACACTGGGAAGTCTGACTTGGCCACGGTAGTCCACACTCTGGTTACATCCCATATAGACTACTGCAATGCACTATGTGGGGTTGCCTTTGAAGACTGTCCGGAAGTTTCAAATGGTCCAACGAACAGCAGCCAGATTACTTACAGGATCGGCGCTCAGGGAGCATACAACTCCTGTTACACCAGCTCCACTGGCTGCCAGTTTGCTACCGGGCACAATTCATAGTGCTGGATTTAGCCTGTAAAGCCCTAAATGGTTCTGCCCCAACTTACAGGTCCGAACACATCTCCCCTTATGAACCATCTAGGACTTTAAGATTGTCTGGAGAGGCCCTGCTCTCGTTACCATCTTCATCACAAGTATGTTTGGCAGAGATGAGAGACAGGGCCTTCTTGGTGGTGGCCCCTCGGCTGTGGAATGCGCTCCCTATAGATATTAGATTGGCCACCTCCCTTTTAACATTCTGGAAAAAAAGTCAAGACATGGCTTTTTGAATAAGCGTTTGCAAATGCAGAGTAACTGACACAGGAAAATGGAACGATTAGACAATGAGTCCGGACAACGTTTTTAACAAGGAGACACTGTGAATTTATATTTTATATGCTTCTAGAACATGGCCATGTAGCCTGAAAAACCTACAACAACCCAGTGATTCCAGCCATGGAAGCCTTCGACAATACATAGTATGGATTAATTGGGCAGCTGAAGATTTCCAACATTCACAAGTCCATAGCACCCAGATGCATTTGGACTTTTCTCTCCCCAGATACCTAGTTTTTTATGGGTTTTTCTATAAGTCTAGCAGAAGAACCCTGAATCTTCCCCATTTCCATTTCCCTTCTCTAATTTCTGACTGTGGTGGAGCAACAGCTTTTGGGAACAATTCAGTGGAGCTAGATGTGTGACTAGCCCCCTTTCACTCCTATTTTCTTACTGTGCATATTCAAATACAAGTATTCAAAGACATTGAAATTCAAAAACACCTTTGTTCCCATGCATTTCCAATAAGGGAGATTAAACCTGTATTTTCTTTTGAGGAGGCAAAGCAGAGGGAGTTGAGTGGACTTTCCTGTCTTTCCTCTTGTTAGAATCCAGCTGCTGGCAATGGGTTTTTGCAAGCCTGCGGCTGTAAAAGCAACAGCTACATGCCAACCACATTTCTGGTCCAAAAACAGAGGTAAACCTAAAGGCACATACATTCGAAAACTAGGGCAGGTGAAACACTTGCAGGGAAGAATCTCTATGTGATGAGTTGTTAACACACACACCCTCCCCCAATATACTAACTATACCCAGCACATGTCCCCAGGTTGTATTTAATTTCCCTTTCCTGCTGTGAACTCTGATTTTCTCTTCCTGCTGAGAAGAAAACCTAATGGAGGAGATTGACTGGAGAAACATTTATACTCAGTGAAATCAATGGATATAAGAACAGTTTTTGAATAATGAGTCAAAAGCTTCATCCCCGCACCTCATTCTTGAACAAAGTTAAACCCCTGTACAAAAAGGAGATAATGAAAAGATAACATTTTGAACTGAACTTGCTAGCATCAATATTCATGCTGGCCTTCTTTCATTTAACAATATTTATTTGCTTTATTTAAAATTTATTGTTTGCATTGCTTCATTTACCTATAATATTAGGATCACTCTCTAATATTATAGGTATCGTATTTCCGGTGTACTAGATGACTTTTTAACCCTGGAAAATCCTCTCAGAAGTCGGGGGTCGTCTAATATGCCGGGTACAAAAATTATTATATTAAATATTTTGGAAGGGATGAGTAAATGTTGCTTAAAGGGTGGGTGCTTACTTCGGCAAGGGTGCCAAGCAAAAGCCTCAAGTCTTCCTGGTGGCTTCTCCTTCTCCTCCTCTTCCACGAGCCGGGCATGGAGTGGAGGAGCCCTTCAAAGAGACTGAAGCCTGACAGAGGGAGCCAAATGGTGTCGGAGGGGCGCAGCAGCAGTAGCTGCTTTGAGCACCCTGCTCCAGCAGGAGGGGGAGGGCGGAGGGAGTGAGCACGTGGGGAGGCGGAGTGGCAAGCCGCATGGCCATGGAGATTGCTGGGCTGTCCCATCGCCACCAGCCTAGTAGCTCTACCTTGCCATGAGTCTCTGGCAGAAGCGGACCTTCAAACCTGGAGCGAAGAAATTCTCCTTCTCCAGGGTTGCAGCAGCAGCAGGAGGAGGGGGAGGAGGGAGGGAAGGAAGGAAGGAAGGAAGGAAGGAAGGAAGGAAGGAAGGAAGGAAGGAAGGAAGGAAGGAAGGAGGAGAACGGAGGGAGGGCACAGGGAGGAGGAGCAGCAATCTGCATTGCCATGGAGACCGCTGGGTTGTCCCCGCTGCCACTGCAGGCCTATGCTGGCTTTCCCTCACCATGAGCCTCCAGCAGAAGATGACCCTCAAGCTCAGAGAGAAGAAAGCTCTCTCAAGCTACTACAAAAAAGAGGAGTGGTCTTATATGGCGAATATATCCTAAACACTCAATTTTAGATGGAAAAGTTGGGGGTTGACTTATACCCCCAGTCATCTACTACGCCAGAGAATATGGTATATACAGTAGGGTGGATTCAGATTTAGTCTTAGACAGCGGTGCTTGGAGAAATGGACTTCCCACCTTCTCCCTCTCTTCAAGGCAGACCCTCCAGAATGGACTGGAAGTACTGTTTCAGACCAAAAATTGTATTTTGTAAAAACTCCCTTCTAGTATATTACTAACTCATCTGGAGAAAACTGTTGTACAAGTTGTGTTTAATGAAAATAGCCTGCAAAGCTGTGGTTCACATTACACTTTGAAGTGGCATCAAGGACAACCTTAGGCAGGGTGACTTGGTAGCCTTAGGCTGTCATGAAAGGGCAGCACATTGTTAGTCACTCCATGAATGTTGTATTATTTTTCATTACTTCTTAGATGATATATTAAGCTAAATCATTTGAGCCAGCTTCGAGCATTATGCCTACTAACTGGGAGGGAGGGTAGCATTTGTTGTTCCACTTCAGACACCAAAATGTCTTGGGGCAGCCTGAAATGGTACCATCTAGACAGGGTTTCTTTATCATCGATCTGCTGCCTATTTCAGCCTTAGAAAACTATTTGAATGTGACACAAATGCCATTTTTTAAAAAAATAATGTCCACAGTGTTTCCAGAATCAATTTTCAGCTCAGCTAACGAAGCGTTAGTTTTTCAGTACCTGCTCTCTTTTTTTCAAAGTCTTCTGAGGCCTGTGTGGTCGTGAAAAAATCCTTTGCAGTGTTATTTCTTTATATTTTCTGTGATGGATTTTGTCTCTCTCTCCTACATGTTGTTCAAAGCCTTTTCTGCCTTGTTTCTAAGGAGGATTGTACAAGTTGATCTCTTGTAGAAAATACAGCCTGTCTGCAAGCTGGTGACTTTAGATGCACACACTGCCCTCCACTTGTAACCTCTGTTCTTCCTTATTTTGAAAGAAACGAAAAGCTATGTCTGGTTAACATCAGGAGCCCACACTGCCTATTTTTAAAATATAAAAATGGATGGAACACCTGTGCTGGGAAAAAAGAGTTCTATGACACATAAAAGCTCACTTCTGTCTGACAACTGCTTTTATGTGTTGCAATTTGGATGAAAGCAGATGTACAACACTGGGTTAGACTACAACTCCCATTTGCCTAAAATAGTCTGGTTAATACATAGGAGTTATTAACCAGACTCCTGGTTAATAGGAGTTAGTAGAGGGCACCAACTACTGTCCCTGAAGTAGTTGGTTTACATTTACATATTTATTGCTTTCTTTATTTGTTAGCTACGTATTTGTCCCATTCTTCCTCTAATGAGATCAGGTGGATCTTCTCCACACTTTTGACCTCATTGTTCGGGCAAATTTGCCCATCATACACCAGTTCCCCTCCCATTTTGTCACGGAGTCCATTACATGATGTACATCTACTTCCAGCAAGGCTCTGTGGCGAAAGAGGAAAGGAAGTGGCATATGACAATGCCGCAGTAACATGGGAAGCTTCCCACGTTGCATTTGTAACAATAAGGTGGCAGAGGCCAACAATCACATTAAAGAAAAAATACAGAAGACTTTACCAGTGGCTGGATCTGCAAGATTAGTAGAAATATATTGTGTTTGAGGAAGGAGGGAGAAGAAGGGAGGGAAAAATATAATATAATGGAAGGTAAATGTTAAAGAAAAGGAAATAGTTTTGTTTGATTATGATTATAAAATTCAATAAAATAAAATAAAACAATGGGGTGGCTGATGCTTCCCCCAATGGGATGTGGCCAGCAGTAAGTCAGACCATGTGGGGCATGGGGTGACAGGTTCTCCATGCCCCCCCCCACAACCACACCACAGTGTCTCTGACCATTGAGTAGTCCAGATATCTGACAACACTGATCCTATATGATTTATTTTGGATATATGTAGCTATGTGGAGAGAGGCTTTTAGTTTTGTAGGTTTCAACATCCACTGGAGTCATTATACTTTGTCATAGTTGGAAGGTCATGCACAGTAGGTTATGCCTTAAAGCCCTTTTCAATTGATGGTGTCCCTAAGGTGTCCTATTACAGAATTTTCTTGGCAAGATCTGTTCAGAGTGGGTTTGCATTTGCCTTCCTCTGAGTGTGAGAGATTGTGACTTGCCCAAGGTGACCCAGTGGGTTTCCATGGCTGATTCAAATGCTGATTTCCAGAGTCATAGTCAGGACTGCTACACTACATTGGCTCTCATGTGAAGATATGGAGTGGAAATGTGGAGGAATTTATCTCTTCTGGGAGAAGAAGGCACTATCACAGTTTGGAAATGGAGAAAGAATGAATTTACCCCCCAAAAGCAATGCATTTCCAAGATGTCAATTCTGGATTTCTATGCATCTCTAAATTACTTAAATCTGAAAATGTCAAAGCAATGAGCAGCACTAATGTCCCTAATTATTTTGTTTGCAGACTCAAATTAGTCCTAAAGAAGGATGGCAAGTCTATAGTTCAGCCCAAGATCCAGATGGGCGGTGTATTTGCACTGTTGTGGCACCAGAACAAAACCTCTGCTCCAGAGATGCCAAAAGCAGACAACTTAGACAACTGCTAGAGAAGGTAAGGGGACAGATTTGCTTCTTCCATTTTACTTTCTCTAAGGTGCTCATGGATACTTACTCCCCTTTATTTTTCCATTCCATTTTTTGTTTTATTGATTTCTCTCATTCATCAAATATTTTTGTTTTCCATTAAAATGTATTATTTAATCACTTTCTCTTTGTAATGCTGTACTTTCATAAATTATAAGTGGGAAATGTTTTGTGGACAAAGTTTGCCTGTAATTTCTCTGAAAGATAGGATTTTTATTTCCATACAAACTGTCAATAGCTATACTTCCCATCTCACAAATACATGTGGATGGCTATCAGTCAGGGGTGCTCTGAATGCGATTTTCCTGCTTCTTGGCAGGTGGTTGGACTGGATGGTCCATGAGGTTTCTTCCAACTCCGTGATTCTATGTTTATGAAAAAACATTCATTGTAGATAGTATGAAAGAACCTTTCAAACAGCAAATCTGTTGTGTAGGCATGTGATTCGTTTTGCTATTTTATACATCCATAGGAAATAGAGATTATTGTGTGGAAATTAAAAAAAATGTCTGCATTATCTAAGAAAAAACAGTTATTGTATTTAGTGTAACATTATTGTACTATGTGCCATGGAAGAACTAGTGTGCTGTAAGAAATGAATCTATCCAGTTATTATAAGCCAATTCTGCCCCAATTACCCACCCATATAGAAGTCTATTTACTGCATCGCTGGGTGATTTGTTGGTCTGACCTTTTTTGCTTCTGCCTCTGCCCTAAGTGTGTTTTGGGTCATTTCATCACTGTTGATGCAGCCTGCTTCTAACTCCTGTCTTACTACTGTGCCCAAGAGGTCAGGAACCAAGATTTTCAAGTGAAGGAGGAAGCTACCCAGTTAAGGTCAAATTTCCTTGAACTCCACAGGTATCAGGGCAACCAAAGCTGGCTCGTTCTAAGCCGATCTTGTCAGAAGAAAATGTTTGAACATGGTAGAGGTATAACAGAAAAAATACCATTTATTTTCAGAAACAGCTCTGTGCTGAATATCTTCAAGACTCCATGCTCTAGGATTGCCTCCCTCTCAGGATGCATACAGTTAGAACAAAGACCCAAACAACAGTATAGGGAATGTGTGTCCCTCTGCAGTTGAGAAATGTAGTTGTCTGAACAGCCCTCTCCAACTCAAACCATCAATTTGTCCAGAAAAAAATCATTGATGTCCTCAATACTTCACTGAGAGAGCCTGGTAAAATGACAGAATGCCCTACAGCAGTGGTTCTCAACCTGTAGACCCCCAGATGTTTTGGCCTTCAACTCTCAGAAATCCTAACAGCTGGTAAACTGGCTGGGATTTCTGGGAGTTGTAGGCCAAAACATCTGGGGACCCACAAGTTGAGAACCACTGCCCTACAGTGAGAAAATATATTTATCTCGCAATTTTTATTCTCACTACAACTATAGATGGATATTATCCTTGAAATGATTGGCTTGAACTTGAAAGAGCTGGGGGTGGTGATGGCCAACAGGGAGCTCTGGCGTGGACTGGTCCATAAGGTCACGAAGAGTCGGAAACGACTGAATGAATAAATAACAATAAAAACAACTATGTGAGGTTAGTTAGGATGTTAGGTAAGGAACACAGAATGCTCTATTTTCAAAAATGCCAACACTGTCACAAAGCCACTCTGAGTCCCTCAACAAGGGAGAGAGGGTGGGATGCAAAACAAAGTAAATAAATACATACAGGTATTTTTTTTTCTCCAGAAGGTTGTTTCCTAGAAAATAGCTCTTTTTTCATTGCACCACTACTCAAGCGTCATTTTATTGTGTTGAACTACAACTTATATCATCCCTAATGAGAGATATAGAATTTTCAAGCTGTGGATGGTTAAAATCATGGCTGTAGAATCTGCGGTATGGAGAGCCAATTGTATTTTTTTAAAAAATAGTTTATTCAGAAAATTATCACAAATTGAATTTCCATTTTTAAATGTTAACTTTTCCTTACATGTGGAATTCCAGAATATTGAGGAACATCTGAACTGTAAGGAACATGTATTTGCCATGCAGCTGAGAATCTAAGAACTATAGTAAGAACGGTTTTTCCAAAATATAAATGTTTGGTATAAACATTCAAATATTTTCCAGGGCTGCACATCTCTCCACACACCATGACAATAGCTGGGGTGATGGGAGTTGTAGTGTTGTCCAAACAACCCTGGGGGAAACCGGTCTCAGAATAATCCAGGAGACACAACTCTGTAGTCAGTTAAGTTGGTGGATTGATGATCAGTTTTCTCCCAATCTGCTAAAGACCAAGAAGCTTAAGACCACCGAGCCGCATCAAGAGCCTTCAAAAAAGATGAAGTAATGTGTGCCAGGGATTGTGTGGGCTGCATATCAATTCTTTTTTCCATTCCTCTGTATCTCCTTAAATTAACAGACGTGATTCCGGTTGCTTGGAGGGCTTCTCTCCCCTGCATCAAATTAGTAAGATATTGTTTCTCTCCTAGGGAGAAGGAGAAAAATGGAATAAAAATGCAGGAACATAACAAAGCAATGTTTGTTTAGCAACTGTAGCATCAACAACTCAGCTATGGTTTCCATATAATAGTTCTTGGCTCTTACACTCAGAGCATGTGAAAATTGGAATATTAAAGGGAGTTGTTCATCTCAAGGCATTCAGCTGCAAATATAGACTTGCCAATGGAGTGAGGGCTGTTTTGTTTTGCTTTTGCTTTTGGATTTGATTAGTTTGCTTTTACATATTCCACGGAGATGCTGTATGATAATAGAGAAGGGGGGGATGCATATGCGAATCTGGATCCCTGACACGTACTAGCTCCATTAATCTCAGAGTTTAGGGAAAATACTTTGTTTGGATGACAGCTCACTGTATCTTCCAACCAGCACAGCCAGGAGCACTGCTGCCCAAGGGATTCTGGGAATTGTCATCCCAAAAGTTAGTTTTCCAAGCTTTGAGTTATTCAGGCTTTGGTATTAATTTAATCTGCTGGCTGCCAGGGCTCCCTGTGTCCACAAATTTGAGAACAAAAATAAGGAGCCAACTTTGCAAAACTAACATATAGTGGTCTTAGATAAGGCCCTCTGTCTCTTCTAAGTGGCCTTCTTTCAAATTTTGTTGCTACAGGTATCGTTCATTTGCATCCGCTACTTGTTTCTGAGTTGAGAATTTGGCCAGCCATTATTCCTGCAATTGAGCTAATACCTCACAACAACCCCACAACAACCAGGTTTCAGACCAGGGAAAACTGTACAGCCCAAATTCTTAATCTGACCAAGCACATCGAGAAAGGATATGAGAAAGGTTGCAATACTGGAACAGTTTTTGTTGACCTTACAGCAGCCTATGACACGGTGCAACATAGGAAAATGCTGCAGAAAGTCTACCATATTACCCGAGACTATGATTTCGCAAAAACTATCCAGACTCTCCTAGAAAACCGTAGATTCTATGTGGAGTTTCAGGGCAGGAAAAGTAGATGGAGGAGGCAAAATAATGGCTTACCCCAAGGCAGCGATCTTGCACCGACCTTGTTTAATATCTTTACTAACAATCAGCCACAACCACCACTCACAAAGAGCTTTATATATGCTGATGACCTTGGCCTAACAACACAAGCAAAATATTTTGAAACAGTTGAAATCCAACTTACTAATGCCTTGAAATATCTCTCCAGCTGCTACAAAGATAACCACCTGAAGCCTAATCCTGCCAAGACACAAGTGTGTGCTTTCCATCTATGCAACCATGAAGCCAACAGGAAATTGAAAGTCACCTGGGAATGTCAAGAACTTGAACATTGTTTCCATCCCAAATATCTCGGTGTCACCTTAGATCGAACACTAGCATATAGGAAACACTGCTTGAACACCAAGCACAAAGTAGCTGCATGCAATAACATCCTGCAAAAACTTACTGGCAGCACATGGGGTGCAGACCCAAAATTAATAAGAACATCAGCCCTGGCCTTGTCTTACTCAACTGCTGAGTATGCCTGCCCTGTTTGGCATAGGTCTGCCCATGCAAAGCAGGTGAACATAGCATTGAATGAAACATGAAGAATAATCACAGGATGTCTTAAACCTACACCTGTTGATAAACTGTACAAGGTAGCTGGCATCCCCCCACCCCCCGATGTGCGATGGGAAGTTGCTGCTAAATGTGAGAGAAATAAGGTTGAACACTGGAAAGCCACCCACTACATGGCTACCAGCCTCTTCCCAATAGACTCAAATCAAGGAAAAGCTTTATGAGAACTACCACTCCTCTTGGCGTCTCCCCAGCAACAGCAAGGGTATCCCTCTGGGCAGCTAAACCAGGAAATCCCAACTGGATGGCCCCCCCACGAGGGTCTTCCTCCAGGGGCAAACCAAGAATGGGCAACTTGGAAGTCCCTGAACAGACTCAGAAGCTGAGTGGACAGATGAAAAGACAACCTGGCAAAATGGTACTACCTAAAAGAATCCCATACCTTGTGTGACTGTTGAACAGAACAGACAACTCTGCATCTCTATGCTTGTCTACTGTGCCCTGCCTCATGTACAGAGGAGGAATGTTGGAGGCTACAGACAATGCCGTTGGAGGCTACAGACAATGTTGTTGCCCGTTTTTGGTCAAAAGATATTTAACCGCCTGCACACTTTCTACTTTTATCAGTTTTATACTAATTTATGCAATGCTTTTGATACAAAATAAATAAAACCCCATAGTATATTCCTTTTATTTATGCTAGGATATACTTTCATTTGTTTCACTTGATTTGATTTCTTTTATATCCCATCTTTCCTTTGCAAAAATCAAGGGAGAATATATAGTTCCCTCATCATTTTTTATCCTCACTACATTGCATTGCCCTCTCCCTAACACCTTGGAGAGCTGTAGTTCCTCAATTTTAACCTCACACCCAAACATGCAGAAGAACCAAAAATGACCAAAAATGGCAAATAATGCCTCTTGCAAAATTTCTAGGGGTCCTTTCTGTATACTTCACCTGTTCCATCTTGTTG